TCTGCGAGAGGAGTTCATCCCAAGAATATCTCTCTTGAAAAATACCGGGATGCCCAGCGCGCTGCGCCCAGCGAACCAATATGAATGAAGTTAGACGTTAGCAAGGGTGAACTAGTAGCGCAGAGCCCGCTGCCACCAGTAACGCCCGCTAACGTTTGGAGGATCTACGAGGTTGTCAGAAAGGCCCGGAAGAATGCTTAATTTAGATCAGCAGGGGAAAGAGACAACTAGGATAAAACCAGATGGGCACCGTCAAGAGTTGTTAGCCAGAGGCTATTTGTTTCGTTTATCGCTTGAACGCTTTTCCTCACAGAGAAATGACGCTCGGATTGTCATAATCGCACATGAGGAGGCAGCCAGTGTGCATGATATCTCCCGTACCCATTCTTCCCCATGATGGCTTGCATCTAGACTGCTTGTGGCTTTTTCTCGCGTCAATCAGCGTTCACCGTGGATGTGGCTGAACTGCCAGCTTCTGTGTTGGCAAGCCATCAATACTCCGTACCCAAATGCTCAATGCCAGAATTCAACCTCCAAAAGACCAGGAAAAAGAAAATTATCGACATACAACCTCAATTATCATTCGATGTCATGAAATCTGCGGTAGTTGACTGGTTATCCCACAAGAGTTTAGTCAACTTTATTATGGATATCGCAAGGAAAAGAAAAAGTGATTGGTCGTCCTCTCGTTCATGCACCGTCAAAGCCCAAGTGGAATCCGCCCAACCAATTTCAGAATAACTCGATGTGGATGGTGAATAAAGGAAAACAATCATCCTCCGTCGAAAGATAGCCATAATGGCCATTCACGATGACTCTGTCGCATCTTCGATTTTGAATCCAAAACAAAACAACGACAACCAAAAAAAAAAAAAAAAAAAAAAAAAAAAAAAAAAAAAAACTTGACGTAATTACGGAGTAGAGCAGTCTCCATTCGCTCAGCGGAGTTTGATCATTAAATAATAAATAGTACTCCGCACAGCACGCCAGTTGGCGACTCTTTACAATCTCTTGATAACGCGCTTTCAGAACTGCCACGGAACCATTATTGCTCCATTGTCACTCGATGATGCTGGAGTTGTGGCTTGATGACGAAAGCTGCTTCACCTGCTGCTGTAGCTAACCACTGCGTAGATATGAGCGAAGGAGGCTCTCTGCAGGTTGATAATAATATATACGCATATGAATTTGACCAAACTGGGTGGCGCCAGGGCTGAGAGAGGCCGAAGGGGAAAGCAAGATGAATGTTGGCGGAATCCTGCATCAGAAAACTTATTCCGTGACTTGGCGGAGATATTGCATCCGATTGGATGGGATAGACAAGCTGGTATGGATTTACGGTAGGATTCCACGAGAGGCATTGAAAAGAAGCTGCTGCTTCTGGAACCCGTGGACACAAGCATGAGTTGGGGAAAGATATCAAAGCTCATACACATTCTCGAAAAGATCAACACGGAAATTATTTAGTCGAAACGTGGGTCCTCTCGCTGTTCCTACGAAGTCCGTTTCACCTTGATTTATATATATTCAAAGATTGGAAACTTGCGGCTAACGGTACGGGAATTGATAGATATGAAACATTTTTCGCTGTTGAATGGCATTCATCCGATATATTATGATACATCTCAAGAGGCACTCACTCCTGAGCTTCCCTTAGGAACTCCGTTTTCATGAAATCATTCAAGTATACTCTGTACGCCCCAAAGCATTCGCAAGCACGGAGTACACAAATGTATGTGTTGCGTTTTAGAGGATGGCTTTAAAAAGTTACCGCCCGTTTTCAACAACCCCTGAAATGTAGTTAAAGTTATGGTTAATTTAACTTTGAAACCAACCATTTGCTGGCAAGTTTCTTTGGGCAGTCATCCCGTCCGCCACATGGATGTGGAAATCGATTTCCGTAACGGCGTTTTCAAATCTTACCTAGAACAAAACTAAATGTTAAATATCTAGGTGAATATAGGTCGTCTCAATCGAATAGCAGTAGCGGCTGCCACCACTAGCAAACAGGAGTGTTGGCCACGAATCCCACTCTTCGATATAACATTGTTCTTCTCCACACAATTACACCAGCATCTCTGTGATGTTGTGGCTAACCTCTGTCTCCAGCAGTAACCGCTTTGGCATGAAGCACTGAAAGGTCTTATTCCTCGTGCTGGTGCAGGAGAAAATAAGGGAGAGGATAAAACAAGCGCAACAAAACAGCAATAGTATTTTAAGTATGGAGTACTAGCAACCTGTTCGCGAAACCATACTGGTATGGGATGAATGACTGTTTGCAAGAGTTCTTCTAATACCATCAAGCGCAGCAGAACCACATGGAGAGATGATAAGAAGGTGGAATAGCACATATTGCTTTGCACTGGGACTACACATGAACACATTGGGACCCATATAGCTCTCGCAGGAGTCTTTCTTCTAACACCAACTGGGGCAGTCGCATGGGGGAACGGAATGTTATTGCGATGTGCAGTGCTCTCATGGCTAACCCTGTACATCCCAATCCTTACCACTTCCGCCGCACTCCTATCTTGCCGTCAACCCCGTGATTCTGGCTAATCCATCGATCTCATATCGTCTATCTCTTCTACACGGCCTCTGTTCTGCCTCTAGCTTCTACGTAAACCACTGGTGGGCCGTCTCTAGCCTCTCGCACCCTAATTACGATCACACTTGTTCGCCTCCGCTATCCTCAAAATGGATGCTCGTTTTCCGTGACCAAGGTTCAGACCTCGAGAAAGCTGACTGGAGCTCGATGTGCTCTCCTCCTTGGCAGTCGCTACTTCGCCCATCGTGAGGGTTTGGTAGGTCCCAGATGCTTTGGCCCTCGTGTAGACCGCGCGAGAACCTGTTGCACAAGGTGATTGAATTTAGCTTCTCGTTCGACATACTATTTTTTGGGCAGCGACATCCGCCTCGAAGATGGTGTCATCTCTACCGGGCCAGCCTTATCCACTATCGGCTTGATACCTGCTATCTTGTAGATGATGTTATGAATTGGAGTCGAGAGACCGTGGAAAACAATCGAAAAAAGGACCAACAAGTATACGACTTTCTTGGTGTTAGAAAAAGAGTTGCTTGGTTGTTTAGATAGTGTGGGAACTTTCGAGGCTTACTAGGGAAAAAAGCACGGATGAGATTAGTCTCTTCAGTATCCCCTTCTCCGAGCTTGGGGAAAAGGTGGCGGGCATGTTCAAGAGAGAAAAACCGCGCCAACTCCTATTTTAACTTTCAGGGGTTAGCCTGGAACGGGACGAAGCTCTGCTATGCCTTGTGTTGGGTTTTCATTTGCAGTCCCTCACTTACCAATTAGACCATAATATCTCACGAACAAGGTCTCCTTCCAGTTCTTGCACACTTTTTGGCGTGAGCTTGTACAGCACCAGGATTGCGGGGAGGCGTTGGAGAAACATACAGAACGACGAATGCTCCTACAAGAATATGGGTTGGCGGCTTTGGAATTTATTGAGAGATAAGCTGTCCCTACAAATCCAAAGCCGCGAGAACAATAACAGAAAAAGGCGAAAAGAGAAGAAGAGAAACCATTTAAGAAGAAGTGATCAAAAGGAAGTAAGTAACGATAAGTATGCCTATGAAATTGGACAGAGGAATGCTACGATACGGATAGGTTTCAGCAGTTTCAGCGAGTTGGATGAAAATAATGGAAATGATGTGACGTTCGAAGTCATCGTCATTTTACTAACTGGATGAGAGAGAAAGATAGCTGTCCCGAGAGGAATGCAGGAGCAAGTCAGCGAAGCCGGCTAACACGTATCCTTGCTCAAGACAGTGCAGCAACCGCCAGGCTCCGGGAGAACAAACTCAAATCATTACCGATTTCAAGTCTCGACATAGTCCATTTCGTCGCTGTATCCGTTTGGTACTAGTTACTATTTATCTACTCGTGTGATCTCTTGAACCACGAGACGAGTGGATTTTCCGCTACCCATTGAAAAGTGTAGACTGCCAAGGCTCAGGGGCAGCGCCGCTCCACCCCACCAACCACAGAGCTTGATATTCCCCTTGGAGATAGATCACCTCGGATTTTCCAATGCCAAGAGTAAGTAAGCTACCGGCTCTCCGCTGTGCCTTGAAAGGTTTCATTTATTTCATTTCGTATTCTCCTTTTTTGTACTCCGTAATATTTTTTGATTTCTCGAAACCGGCAATTCGGAAACTCGGCACAACAAAAGCAATGCTAAGTTCCAGTCATCGTTGCGGTCGCCGTGTCTGAGCTTGCCAGCTGCACAATTCTGCCAACGCCTTGCAGCAGAACAGGGCAATTCATATAGCAAATCGTCACCGTACTCTGTCTAGAAATGCAGAATTCGACGTCAATGCCACTTCCTTCAAGAAAACGTCCTCTTGGTCCCGGCGGATTGCACAAGTATGGCCGGTTTTTTTTTTGTTTGCTTTCTACAATTTCCTTTACCAACTTGGAATGGAATAATGGAATGAGAAATACAACACATGCTCTTACACCATATATTCATATATTATGTACGTGCGGGACACATCATAATAGAAGGTGGTTTGGGGGGCGCTTACCCCCTTTGGGAAATGTTCGAGTTTCTGTTTTATCCAGCAAGCAAAACTTGGATCCCACATTTTTCCAGAATATTCCCTTTTCGCGCTAAAATCTGTAGCTTGCTTGAAGCTTGCTGATCCTTCAATACTAGTATTTTAGCTGGTTGAATAGTGACAGGAACTGATGAGCTAGACGTTGGTCTCCCTCAAACTACGTCTGTCGCTTTCTCATACTTTCCCGAACCCGTCCTCACCGTACAACTTAGCCAATTTTCCAGCGTAAGAACAAAATGGGGTTGTCTGATATTGTTGCGAAGAACCGGCGGGGAAGAACGTTGAAACGAGAGCAGGTTGATCATTTGAAATTTTATGTTGCCGTTTGCTTATTGCCAACTATATCCTCTAGTTATACGTTCCATCCACCGAAATGTGACGGAGTCCCAAGTTCGGATTCTGCTTGAGTTTTCTATTTTCACTTGTTACTGGTTTGTTTCATTTGCATCGCCTGGGAGGTCGAAATGAAGATGGAGCAAATGCAATTTGCCGAAATCCCGTTTCCAAGGATCCCCTGATGCGCGTAGGGAAGTTTTCTCTGGGAGGATGGGCGGAACAACGGATTCGCGAAAATGGTGAGAATAAAGCGGCTAGGTCACTCAGTCTGAAAGTATAGCAATACATACTGAGTCCATCATCCTCACTTCAACGTCTAGGCACGCAACCTTTGAAAAAGCGAGCATTGACCTTGGCATGAGCTAACATTGTTTATCAAAATGGATGGAGAATAATTTGTATTAAGCTAGAAGTAACTAATTATCAACACATGGTCCGCCCCATGTACGGACATAACCAGAAAAAGGATCAGAACTGCGCCACATGTTACTGCCTATTAAATGCGAACAAAACGAAAACCAAAAAAGAAACCATACGACCTCATTACTACTTCAAATACCCTTCAAGCTCTTTCTCTGTCCACTCCCACAACTGCTTTGCAAGAGCTTCATCCCCAGACAGCGGCGTGTGTGGAATGGGCGTTCCCACAGGATGGTAAATGCCACCAGACTTCAAGAAACCAGCATCATCCTCACCAGTCTTTGCTATCTGTGTCGTCGTCGCACCCCAGAGCGTATTGTACGACCCCTCTTGCAAACCGACGTGAAGGAAATTCCTCACAGCCATCTTCACCACAAACCGGTCGACGCAATTCATATGGTCCATCAGCTCTGTCGTCATAATCACTCCCGGGTGAACAGAAGCGACAGTAAGTTCCGGATAACGTCTAGCCAGCTCGGAGCCGTGAAGGACGTTGGCCAGTTTGCTCTGCGAGTACAGCGTGTATTTCGCCAGCATGGCTGGTCCGCTCACCCCTCCCTGCGCTTCCTTCAGCCGCTCGAAGTCAATCCCGGTCTTCTTTGGCGCCTCCTTAAAGGCAAGCGAGGAAGTAATAACGATACGGCCATGCCCTGACCCACCTCCGCTTTTGGCTCGGGCATTTTGCAACGCGGGTAGACAGAGCTTTACCAACATCGCATGAGCGAGGTGGTTTATGGCAAATTGGATTTCGTAGCCGTCCTTGGATAGCGCAGGTTGCACGGCCATCACACCCGCGTTGCATATTAAGACATCGATTAGGTTTCCCGATTTGACCAGGAGGACTTGTGCGGCATCGCGCACGGAGTGGAGGGAGGTTTGGTCGCAGGCGACGAAGGTAATGCAGTTTCCATTGTTGGTGGTGGCCTTTATCTCGTCAATGAGAGAGTTGGCAGCCTGTACGTTGCGGCCAGTGAAGTAGATATGAGCGGGATTGTGCTTGATCAATTGCTTGATAGCTTCTTTGCCGACACCAGCGGTACCTGTGGATTTGATGATAAGCATTGTGGTCAAAACGGAGTGGGAGTGTTGGTTGGTCGGCTTACCTCCAGTGATAACTATCACTTTCCCTGAAAGGTCGGGAATGTCGTTGTCGGGATTGTAGGTGATACTCATTGTGCGTTATTCGTTTTGAATAGAGATATAGATATAGATAGGAAGAGTTATATAGAGAGTTATTCTTTTATTGTGATCTCTTCGCTTGTGGACTTGTTTATTTGAAATTGACTTTGAAATGGCGAGAGGAATTCTCGATCTTTATATATTTGGAACTGATGCATGCCATCTCAAACTCCTCTTTTCCTCGAGACTCTTCCAGCACCGCCAAGGACGTTCTGCCAGGCAACATTATTTCCGATATAAGTTTGATATAGGTATAGTATATCGTGCGTGATGGTTATTTTGCCGGTGATGGACTGGATGAAAATGTTTTTCCCCGGTTCCCGCCCCTGACAAGCGCATACATTGCTATGACGTTGGTGATGATGGAGGTGGCGGCAACATCTATGAGCTAGGAATCAAAATTTACAAAAAAGGTTCGTGAGTTAGGAATAAACAAGCGCCATACTCGGGTCGCATGCCAAATTGTTATGCCGGCGGCGAAGCAATTACGGGCGTAAAGATCAAGCATGATATCTGAGACTAAGAATGGAAGATCAGACCAAGATCTGAATGAAGTCTGTGCCGGTAACTTATCCCAGGTATCTTTGCTTTCGGGGATATTCACAAGAAGACCCCGACGTCTGGCTTCACCTTTTCTTCAACACAAATTCCCATCATGATTCGATGCCGTCCTGAGGACAGATGGCAATGCAAATGGAGTTCGTTTTGTCTACCCTATTATCTTTCCGATTTTCACTTCCGATTCTCACGTCCGTAAGCCCCTATTGGAACCCGAGCCGATGGTGTCTGTAAATACAGCTCATCCATGGCCAGATAGTGGTTTATTGTTTTTCAATCGATATCCTGTCACCAGTCATGCAGGGTATGGGCTTTACCTCACCATCGTGTGTGTGGTGCCAATCCACCTCCATGAGGCAGACCGCGGCCACTCTAATGCTCTTTAACTACGGCCGGAACTTGCAAAGTTCGCCGAAGAACACACAGGGGTGGAATCAACACATTCATTCCTTAGGTATCTACGAATGATGCAGCAGAGAAACTCTCCGAGTTAGGAGGTGGAAAACAAAATCGCCCGCACACACTTGAAAATCAAGATGGAAATCTCAATCAATGCTGCAGCCCATCTAAGAAGTCCACTCTCATAGGAGACGGAATGGGTTCATAGCCAAAATTGGCGGCCAAAGATTGAGGCATCAAGCCGCTTAACGAACTCCGAATCTTTTGGGTTAGAGCTAGTTAGCTATTATGGAATAGTTATGTGTTCCATGCGAATTTCTAAGGCCGGCAAACATCTTTGTTCCACGCGTCCCATTGTAGAGTACATAGAAGTTGGAGGAACTTCTCAAGTGCTGGACAAAATGATAGCGAAAGATTGACAGGTCCTGCGTCAAATACAAAAGGGAAATAATAAAGATGACCCTCCTATGTCCAAAACAATTCCAAATTAATAAACGATTCCTACGGAAATGGGTTCACCAAAGAAACAGCCCGAAGATGTTCAAGGAATGACTATCGTGGCATGGCCTCATATACTGTACGAGGCCATAAGTATTAGAAACCCCATAACTTTGAGCACTCCCTAAATAGGCGTGGTCACGTGTCATTCTAGCGATTGATAGCGATGCCAACAACCTGATCTTAAAATGTTCAGATCTTCTACGTTTTCAGTTTTATGTGTCTCAATGATATTTTTGGAGGGTTGTATAAGTCTCCATCCGCTCGCTTCACCGGCGTCTTTTGAACACAATACCTTGGACACTTCTATCTCATTTATGTGAACAAGGCTTTCGAGGTCTATAAAAATAACCAAGTCTTAGCCAGGCTGTTTGCTAACCTTCCCATCTCGGTCCATGCATTGACCTCATCATTCATAGACGACTAGACAGTAGGTTGCACGCCTGAGTATCAGCAACAGAATTCTCCCATGATCAGTTATTTGATGCTACAACGATGGCTTCAGTTATTACAGCTCCTCCACTGGCATAACTTGTGTCGTTAACATCATCTCTTTGCGATTCCGGAATTATCCCCCGACTGAGCCGTCAGCTAGTTGGTTTAACGCGGCAGATAACCTTCCAGGACTAAAAAGATCTCGAAGAAAAGTTTCAGAATGCAACTGGGGCTGTGGATCCTGTTCTATTGTTGCTACAGCTCACGTTTCATTTATGCGATCCAGGGCTGTGAAGAGCGTTCGATTTTCCTTTCCCCCATGGTGATCGGGAAGTTCTAAAATACCTGGATACTTATGAGCCACTTTATTTCACACATCAGGTTCGCGAAATAGATGCTCGTTCTATCTGGAGCTAAGTGGCTATTATATCTCCAAAGATCTTTTCTGGCAGGCTACTAACCCTGCACAAAACAGCAATTATCCAAGACGGCTGCTTCATCTGCTCCTAAATATAGGTTTGCCGAGCTATTGCAGCGCATCCCCTACACAACAAGACGTCTTTTATTTTCAAAATTAACTACAGCTAAATCGTGGAAAGGGAAGTTTAGTGGCACATTGGATGCGTCAATCAGGTTTTTTTTAAAATAAGGCCCTAGCTATTTGCCAGGGTCTCCACGCTCCAACTGCAATGTTTTAGCTTTCTATACCAGACGGTTTGCTCTTTACGCCCTCTATTAGGTACAGCATTGGAAAGTCGGAGAATATATAAGAGGCAGTGAGTTTGCCGCAGTGAAGTTGCCAAATGGAAACTGGATCTTTATGACCAAAGTGACTTTCTCATCTATTTACCTTTCGGATCACCTCAAGAAACTCTCGATAACAAAAAAGTTGCCATCAATGATTATTCAATTTTTGTCTAAAATATGCGTCTGTTTACTCCTGATTAAGCCTGTGTTTACATCCCCTTTGAAATCTGAATCGCCTTCCGCAGATCTCCCCCCTTCTCTTGAAATCGATGGGCTCACTGAAGAACTTCCACCGGGATTGATCGAGGCAATCTCAAGAAACGTCACGGCATTTCTTGAAGGGTTTGCCGACGACCCTGTGAAGCCACCACAATACAATGAGGGAAGCAGATTAGCGGTAGCGAAACGCTCTGGAAACTATGCCAAGGGCATCTGTTCATTCCACCTCAAAGAGACCCATGCATGCTGGCTGGGAGACAGGCTTTTTGCAAGCGTAAACCTGGTGGATGCGAACAAGCAAAAAATCGGCTCGGACTGCGGCAAATATGGCGAAAATGGCGTACTTATCGATGAGAAAAACGCGCCCTACGAGCTGACGAGCGAGTTGCCTTACGTTCTGCTCATTCATTCACCCTCCGAATCCCAACCTGTTCGTTTCCAGTACGCCGGATATTCTTGGTCGAGTCATACCGAGAGTGGAGACGCACGTTGCGAGTTGGGAGGATGGGATCCGAAGTCGCGGTTTTGGACGCGCTGCTCAACGCCGCGAGTCAGGCAGATGGACTGTTTTTTTCCATGCTGATGTGGGCCATAGCTTCTGGTAGAGCAGGGCCACGCCGGGGGAGTTTATAACGCCCTTTCATTTGTTTGTAATTGAGATATTCCATGCATTTTATTAATTTTCATTTATTCTGCTTTCATATTTTGGTTCCATTTTGCCCTTTCTTGCATTTTGTTCCTTTAGAATGCAGCGAGAGCGAGAAGCCTATATAATATTTCATGCGCATTAGTTATGAGTTTGGGCCTCGGGTTTTACACAAAATGACCGCAAAGGAAAATCCTTCCCATAACTAGACATACATACTCATTTCATCAAGAGGCAGAACGTCCGCAAGGGACCCTATCAATATGAAGATATCTCAGATATGGGCGCTGGTGGATGATGTATTTATCCTGAATAAGCTTGCGTCATTCAAATACTCTCCATAGCGAATTTCCTCAGCCTTGGATGTGAGGAAAGTGGCACATGCTGGTAGTACTTGAATCATGGTTAACTCTGTGTGATCACCTACATGATTCTTTTGTCGCAGAGGGGCTGTCTCTATCTTACCATAGTCTCATATCAATGAATTTCACGAATAAATTTCTTTCATCCAAGTCTGCGTTTCTCTCTACTGCTCCTCACTTGTTTTCCGAGTCTGAATAGCAGAGCAGAATTTTTTTCCAATTTAATTCTGCCGCTTGAGTAGTATCTTTCTTGTGTGACAAGTATCTTCACTGCAAAAGCCCCAAAGAAAAAAAAAAGAAAAATTGAAATATCTAGGCGAACGCACTCACGCAGGAAAGTGTGATGCCACGATAAGGGTTATCAATGAGAAATTATATGGGTACTCAGACCAGAAAAGGGAAAGGCTATAAAACTAGTGTAAAAGTAGATAGAGGCTTCGCTGGTCGTGTCATGTTGAAAAGGAGGTGGCCTGATGAGACAGGTTATCCGTTCACCTGCTTTGCGCTGCTTGGATTATAATTGAATCGGTTGGTTGAATGTGAGTTGCGATGCCATTTCCCTAGTTTCGGGTTTCGGGTTTTATATATATATATATATGTGTGTGTGTGTGTGTTTTCAAATAGGTTCATCACGAGGTTCAATCAACACTTCATTCACAGCTACGTGCTCGGGTTGCCGTAAAGCATAAATTATCGAGTTTGATACATCTTCCGGATCTAGGATCTTCGCTCCTAATAGCTCACCATATTGTTTAATTGCCTCGGCATCAGTAGACATCCCTAGGAGATCGGTGGCTGTATTTCCTGGCTGGACGCTCATGATACGCAGTCCTTTCCCCGCTGTTTCCAGTCGCAACCCTTGTAGCGTGGCTTCGACAAAAAATTTGCTGGCGAAGTAGACGCTTAGCCCAGGGAACACTTTACGACCGGCATCAGATGATATGGCGACAATTTGGCCTCTGCCACGCGAGAGCATTGACGGCACGGTGGCTCCAAGGCAATGTAGGAGGCCCTTGCAGTTGACATCCACAGTGCGATCCCACTCCTCCATCTGCGTGTTTGCCATCATCGTAAAATACATGACTCCAGCGCAAACGACGAGGACATCCACAGGACCTAGCTCGTCATGGGCTGCACGAACTAGTGCTTCCACCTGTGACTTGTCTGTTACGTCGGTTTGTCGGATGATTGCTTTGTTGTAGCGGAGAGGAAGGGAGCTCTTGATGGCTTCAAGGACTTTCATGCGCCGTGCACCGAGAGCAACGTGGGCTCCTTCCCGGGCTAGGCCGGCAGCAACAGCCGCACCAATGCCGGAAGATGCACCAGTGATAACTGCAACCCGACCGCTTAGTAGGTCTTTGGGTGGTGGATGCGCAATTCTGTTGAGACAATGTTTACGGGAAGGGGAGTGAGGGCGCCACCCTCGGGCAAACCAATAACGAGTGTAGATTTCCAGTAAGTTAATGTCCACTTTGGGCCGTTGGACACCCGCATGGAAAGGCTTGGTTTCATTGTTGCTCAAGACAACAATGCCCTTGAGGAAGTCCACAGTTGGCATCCCGCTTCGAAGGATGTCAACTGTAAAGGCGCCATCACCCCCCTTCCTTCGCAGATGCTCTTTTCTCAGTCCACATTGCAACTCACTCCTCCCAACCGAGGTGTTGAGTTGGGTAATCTAGGTCCTTGAGGTTCTCGAAGATGGACCGTGTGTCGACAGGGTCCGTGTCACCGAGATGAAACAGGAGACGATTCGTGTGAATCTGATTGGAGAGATGGACGATTGCTTTGCTAACGAAGTCCACTGGAGTCATCTCTGCTCGCCACCCTTCTACGTCGGGCGCATAACCGAGATGGATCGATTTCACAACTAATGCAGATAGGAGATCCCACGCGTTTCCTGCGCCCGTGGTGCTGTGGCCACTTATTGTTCCCGCTCGATATATCGCAACTGGCAGTCCACGACGACCTGCCTCGAGCACAAGCTGTTCTGCCACCCATTTGGTCTGACCATAACTGTCAAGCAGTCTTTGCGGAACTTTAGACACATCAAGCATGGCATCCTCGGGCCAGCATTTTAGAGATGGCGGCAGCACTCCATTTGTTGATACATACTGTACTGTAGCACCAGAGTGACAAGCCAAGCGCAAAATCTCTCTTGTACCTCCTACGTTTGCACCTCGTAGCGCGGCATACGGATATACCAGGTTGACGGTCGCAGCAGCGTGGATGATGACATGGACATGGGCAGCAAGCTTTTCGAAGGCCTCAGGGGAAAGACCGAAGCGTTTTCTAGATAGATTTCCAGGTAGGATCTCGACGCGCTCCATTATCGAATCACGCCACAATCCCAGATCAAGCAGATTTCTGCGGATTCTCGCTACGCCCCCCGGGCTATCTTCTCCGCAAGGGTCATTGAAACGCACAAGACACACTATTTTGGCGGACGTGGTTTCCAACAGGTTGTGGAGCAGGAAGGCACCTAAGAAACCAGTCGCACCGGTAAGGAGCACTGTGCTTGCCTCGGACAGTGACCTTGCCTTCGCACCAAAGGGCTGAATGTCCTCCTCAAGGATAGAGTCCACGCGCAAGACTGCTGGTAGATCTGCTTGCAATGCAGCAGTATGACCGTCTCTTACCGCGCGTACAGTTTTCGTATGACCATTGAGCGTGGGAGGATCAACTAAACGGTCGAGGGGGATACGAAAACCAAAGTCTTTTGAGAGTCTTGATGCAAGATCTGCAATTGATAGGGAGTGTCCACCTAGGTCGAAAAAGTTGTGTTCTGAGTGATGGCGCTTTGTGCTATTTTAAGGGACGCAGCCCAGAATTCGGCTATGGTATCGACTGAGATTGGATCGCTTTCAGCCTTGTGCCCATTTGTTGTTATGTATGGGCTTCGGTGTTGGAGGAGGAAGGCGTTTAAAGTCAGCTTTCCCGGAGACTTCATGAGTGGGTAACTCATCCAATTTAACCCATAGAGCAGGAATCATGTAGTGAGCTAGGTAAGGTGAAAGTATGCGGTGTGCTGCTGGGCTATGTCCTGATTCGTTGATATCTATAGTTTGGCGCTCAGAGGAACTTGCCTTATCATGGACGACATACGCTACCAATTGCCTTTCCAAACCTTCGCCATGGGCAATAACCACACAATCGCTAACAGCAAGACGCTTGATGATGACATTTTCAACCTTCCCTGGGACAACAGAGTAACCACGAAGCTTGATCATAGATCCGACGCGACCACTAATTTCTAGAAGCCCCGAGGGTAGCATTTTGGCTGTATCTCCAGTTCTGTGAATGACAGCTCCTGGTGCTGGATCGAACGGGTCTTGGAGGAAGGCCTTAGAAGTAGTTTCAGGGCGGTTTAGATACCCCCGTGCTAGCAGCGTCCCGCCAACGAAAAGTTCCCCACTCACCCCATGTTCTACCGGATTCCCATCATCATTCAGAATATACGTCTGTTTTGGGTATAGTGGTGGACCAACAGGACAGAAAAGGGCCTCGTCATGAAGCATATGCCTGATGTCCCCACACGCAATCTCATGAGTTTCACAGGCACTGTAGCAGCTAAGAAGTTGGGAATTTGGAAGGGCTTTGATCGCTCGACGGGCTAAGTCAGTAGTGACGACCTCACCATTAAGCCACAAGGTGCGCAGATCTGGGAGACGGGCCCCAAGTGCCGGATGTCTTGAGAGGACGGCAGCCAAAAGAGAGGGGTCATTAGAGTTTCCGTAATGTGTTTCGCAGAGAGTAGGTCAACAAGTGCAGAAGGATCATAGCTCATATCGTCCGCAACCGCAACGACCGTCGCTCCTCGCAAGAGCGGGCGCAGTATCTCCCAAACAAAGAAAACATTGCATGCCACGCGGCCTCCTGGTTGAAGATCGGAAAGCCGAAATCTGAGACTATATGAGTGAACCGGCGCCCAATGTGGATTTGCAATCCCCTTCAGGCGGCCTGTTGTCCCAGATGAATTAAGATACAAACGCTAGTCGTTCCAAATCATCTTCAGTAGGTAATTGCGGCAATTCGTTCGTAGGCGGCAGGGGTTCTTTCTGCTGCTTGTCGAGGACTATTAATGGGGTGCCTGCCTTTATTTTTTCCGCCTGCCTTTGGTTCGTGATTACCACGGCGGGATTCGAATCGTCGATGACATCAGTGAGGAGGTTTGGGGGATAAGCAAGTTCGAGGACAAGAAACGCACCACCAGCACGAAGGGCTGCTAAACAAGCAATCAGGTAGTCTGCGCTGCATCCCAGAAACACGCCAACAAGGCTGTCTCGACCAACGCCATGTCGATGGAGACGAAAAGCAAGTTCTGAAACCTTCCTGTCAAGTTCAGAATAGGTGTATTGGTTTTTTTCCTCTTAAGGCGATAGCATCAGGTGTCACATCCACCTGTTGGACGAAGAGAGCTGACAAGTCCTTTGTTATAACAATAACGGACATTTTTCTTCCTTCTTCACCCAGTGCATTCGTTTGTTCGTTTATCTCTTATGTTTGCAGTCTTTCCCACCTATTTTCCTTCGATTCTCAATTCTTGTTGATATTTTGTTTGTTGTCGTTAGAAGACCACTACGCAGAAGGTAGGGCCCAACCTTGATTCGCCTGAGTTTTTTGGATCCTTATCAAGGGTCTGGCCAGGGTGGATCAACGCTATTCGTTGCAACCCCCACTGTTTGGTGTGGGTTGGGGAACGAGTATTGCTTCTCAGGGAGCGAATTCGCCAATAATAGCGGGCTTGTTTATCGTCAAATCACATTGAGGGAATTCGCTTTCAGTCCCCCCCCAAAAAAACGTACCACTGGAAACTTCTAATTGATGCTCAACTCTTCCCGGACAAGGGTACTGTTTCTCGGCAAGGCTCCAGAGCAGGTGGGGCTCCTAGATATTTATATGCCTCCCTGTCGTCAGATGGAGATCTCAAAATCGAAGCCTGATTCCAATAAGTCTTCAGGCTCACCTAGCGTCCACCATTGCTTGGATAAAAGAAATAAGAGAGCTGCTGGTAACGACATTAGTCTGTGCTTTGAACAATTCGCAATATTTTGCCTCTGTCAAGGGTGATGAGCATGACAAGCAAAACACATAATCGAATTTACCATCCTGCAAATGGATTAGACCCTGCCTCAAGAGTCAATATCTAATGCAACAAACATAAAATATTGCGATGTTCTAAGCCGGCCGTTTTGTTACCGTCCATGAAGCAAACAGGAGGGAGGAACTCGAGGATCTAGTGTGGAAGCTGGGACAACAAACTCCTGATCGAACGGCGATCCGACAAAGTATATCGAGCGGCGACCCGTTCTAACCATATTCAACTGTAACTCCATAGCCTGCGGAGACCTGACAAACGTATTAACAACCTGAGATGTCAGTAAGATCCGCCGTGAGTGGTGATCGTGTATGTCCAAATTCGTGTAAGTTGTTGATGTCCAAAAAGGCGAAGCAGCCCCAAGGCACTAAGATGCCTCAACAGGCAATCTAGGGTTCGTGCCCTATCTTTGCAGGTCCCTGCCGTGGGCTATCGACATCACTAGTATCTTCCTCTACACCAGGGATTTATATCGCCAAGCTCATGGCTATCGAGCCACTCTCTCGGTTGTAAAGTGATGATATTTGGCTGGAACCTGGTGTTCCATCGTCAAGGGCAATCGGGTGTCAGAAAGGTTGGCAATGGCTTGACATATGCAGGTTGCGAGTTGGAGCTTGCTTCAAGGAAACTCGCCTGCTGGCTTCCCACTTCCAGAGAGATGCAAGGAAGAAGATCAGACAAAATATTCGATGTCATATGAACAAATGAAAATTTTTTCGCAGGGCGGTGACATATCGACAAGCTTCAATAAGGGACGAGAACGGGGAGATTTAACAGAAGCAAAAATTCCAGGTGACGTTAAATCCCTTTTACACTGCCCATAACCTATAATTCGTCCTGTCTTTTACTTCCCGGTTTCTCTTTTTCTGTCTCTCATTTTTCCTGTTGGCTATTGAGCGTATCTCCTTTCAACTCTCGCGCCATCTCATTTCTTCACACCGGGATTGGTACTGACGTCATCATTCAGCAAAAATTCGCATGATGGAGACAATACAGTCAATAGAAATCAGCACAGTGAAAGACATTGAACATCCTAGGTCCAGTATATATACTTTTACGCAGTTGGCGGCTTGTTCCCCGTGCCATGGCCGTGGAATTGCGCTTTCTTCTGACTCGGCGACTCGCTTGAGGCCAATACTCCTTCCAATGCACGCAATTTCCTCGCCGCCGAAACAAAACAAAACTTTGGGCTGGCTGTCCTAGGGTGTCCACTTGTGGACTCCCTGTGATTGAGTCTCGTCTGATTTCATCCATTACTCTCGTCCATCAGTTTATGCTGCCCATTCGTTTGCAGTTATTTCTGTATCTATACGCAGTACATAGTTTTTCCCTTTTGGGCTTCCTGCCAAAACTTCCAGTCTCTTGTTTTGAAACCTATTTTTGTGCTTCGTCTGGTTTGGCTGTGTGTTGCTTCATTTCTTTCTTTATTTTTATTCTTCGCTGTCTGCTTCTTGCTGCCACATGCCTTATCAATATCATCGACAGGAATGCAATAATGCCGGGGCTCAGTCGTCTTATCCCCTCCTTGAATGGCTACGGAACACTCCCTCAAAGCGGGACCTCAATTCACGTCCGGGAAGAGGGGTAGTTCATTCTCCTTCCGAGGAGGGCTATGGACCTATCCAGTGTCGTCCAGTGTCCCCCTCTGATTCAGCCATCGATATCCGCGATAGTTCACCGCCTTCAATGACGTTCGCGCCCGTACCACCATCCGTTGTCAAGGCCCGCAAGAACGCAAAAGATGTCCTTAATAACTGCCGTATCACTCTCCTCTCCTTAGAATTGACGCGAATGCGGAAATCAAGGATCGGCATGAGTAGCTGGGTGGCCTTTTGGCATCAAATATATTCTCGAGGACTTGCTGAAGCGATTTGCGCCACAATCCTCCGCGCAGCTCCAAAAGTCGACAAAGTATTTCGATTCGTCGCCAAGGAGCTCTTCGAGATCACTTATAAGGCCGGAGAAAATATCGAGATGGCAACAACAGAAGCACAAATCGTCCAATGCTGGCAATTAATGGAGCAGGAGACTATGGCATACCGAAACCTGAGAGATGGGTATGTGAAAGCGATCCTGGAACACCTGCGATTTAGCGTCGAAGCCATACCCGTTGATATATCCGATGATTTATTCGATGATCTCAAGCGTGCTATTTTTGTCGTTGATCCGAGCGGCAACTACCATCCTGGCGATCCGGAGGCGGAGGAGCGTGATATCCAAAGCCACACGCAGCCTCAAGCGCGAGATTATATTCGCGCGGACCCTCAGCTGGTTTTGCGCCCTGGTTTTAGTGGAGATTTTCGGTCTGCGCTTCAGCAGGCTGCTGCCGAGGATCTGGATATGGTGAATGAAGTACCGCAGCCACTGGAGCTATGTCCCTCTTATGAGTCCGCGACAACGGGGGAATGGTCAGAATGTGTCCTCTCGGAGATGGGCATTGACATAGTCACATAACATTCAATTAAAGGCTGAAATGCGTTTAATCCATTTAAGGGTTTTGGAGCTTGAGTTTGTGCTCGTCGAGAGTTCAAAGAAGTGAAACATATTCCCCTCCCCCACTCGTTAACTTTGGTATTCCTTTGCATTCTTTTCCCTGCTTTATTTTTTGATTTTTGCATCGTCTTTGCGTTTATTTCTTGTTTGTGCAGGAGTTAAGACTGTGATACACGGGAGTTATTCGTTTTTCATTAAGAATTCGGGATTCAGCAATCACTAAATTGGACGATGTCACGTTTTATATCCTCCTCTTTGTAACTCAATGATCAAAACACAGGGAAACTGTGCAATTCTGAACTTGAATTACGAAGTTCATCTAGGAAGCTGAATTTGGATTTCTGGGTTCATCAATATTTTACTTCACGCAAACATCTCCGCACATATAAACATATGTAAGAAGGGATATTTCCCCCTTTACTTGAAATCCCACAAGCACCTCACCAATGCCCCAACTTCCTTATCCACGTTCCCATCCTCCTCCAATAATCGGTCCGTAAAAATCCTCTTTGGAATCTGGAACTCCACCACTGGCGCCTTTCTAAACCCCCTCTCCTGCGTCCCCAGCTCCATCCCCATCATGGCTTGGTATGAATGATCCAAGAAATCCTCAAGGTTATACGCCTGCTTTGTAAACTGTTCCGAGATGATCTTCGCCAGCGACGCTACATTGGGATGATAGTGCGATTGCAGCGTTTCGATTTCCCAGAGACTGCTTTCTAGAGCGCCGGTGCGGGTTGGATCTGGCTCCATGGGATCGAATGGGTCGATCATGCCGTGTGTTTGCAGCCTTGATTGAGAGTCCTCATCATCACGGATCACGCGGTGCAGCATGAAGGTACAGGTTGGGTGGGATTTCATGAGGTTGTAGATCCAGGGGATGATAGCGACGATGGCAGCCGGGGGCGCATTAAGCGCGAGTCTGGATAGCCGCTTTATGAAACTTGCGACTAAGGTTGCGGGGAGATGGGACGAGGACAAGAAGGTGTCGAGGAGGCGAAAGAAGCGGGAACGGTGCTTTGAGTGGAGGAGGTCGGCATCCAGGAGAGAATATAGTTTGGGGTAGAATTGTGGATAATCTAGATTCTTCTCTTGCATTAAGTAGAAGAGCCCTGAAAGGGCGAGGAGAGAGGTGGAGCCGCCGTGGTTGTAAGAATCCGTGAGGAAATCCATGAGCATCTCTGGTTTGAGGAACCAGGGGGCGATGAAATGGGACATAAGACGGAGGAGAGTTTTTCTTTGCTGTTCTTTTAGGGCGTTACTCCGCAAAACCGTGAGCCACGTCGCTTGGACGCGTTGTTTATAAGCAGATACAGAAAGAAGATTTGACTTATGCTTTTGACCGAAAGCTGATATGTCGGCGTAGAAGTTCTCAAATTCGTGGTCTGGTGGTGGCGGTTGGCCGAGAGCGGATAGGAGGGATATCACCGTATCTATGGATTTGGGAGAGCTATTTGTTGTTGTAAACTCCCTATAATAATTAGCTAATGTAATGAAATTTGCACAAACAGGCGTAGCAAGAAGCGAAATATAAGGAACTTACGAGAGCTGAAGAAGCGTATAGATAGCTACATCATGGTATTCGTTTAGGAACTTCTTGATGAATTCCGACCGTACTCGTTCTCCATCTTGGGCTTCAATGAGAGCTACAATTAAGCCATAAAAGCAGGGCCCCTTCCACACCCCTATTTCAGCTCCAGTTCCTCCATTGGCTGACTGTTCCTTGATCAAGCGCATGAAAAGGGAGAGCACGGCAATCTAAGTAAACAGTCGTCAGCTGCACATATCTCAGATTAAAATGCGAAGGAATGGACAGGTTCATACTTGAGATGTCCTCCCCATTTTTGAGAATATTAATCAAGCCA